CGTGCAAAAACAAGAGCTGATCATTTTCACAAAGTTGACTGCAGATATCAGCTGGTACTATGGTCTATAACAGTGGTCGGCAAAGTTTTTAAGTGAGGTTCAGAATGAGAAGTACCCAAAAAAATATAATACAGGGGGGACAAAGTCCGTGAATTTGTAACGACAAAGAAAAATGCTGATATTGGAAAAAAACGAACTAGTCAGAAATTTTTTCAAATTTGAAAAATTCATCTTTTTAACATGTCATTGTAAAATTGTAAATATTCTCACGTTTGTACTAATTAGTCCACAACTTAAAATCTAATTCCAATACCTTTTAAACTAAATTATCAGAGCCAAAACAATGCTGCACCAGTTTTTAAACAACTTGACCCATCACCCTGGGTGAGTAAATGAAAAACATGACACGATACAAAGTCTGCCAAATTGAACTTGGCTGAAACATTATCATCCTGCAAACAAATTATTTTGGGAAAGTTCCATGAAAGCAACAAATGTAATAACACCTCTTCCTTTTAAAATTTTCGAAAAAGTCACTAATAAAGGTTGTCGAATTTTACAGTCTAATTTTGTTAGCATCGCCGATTGTTTCCCTATTATTTCGATTGATTATTTGGGGAATTAACATCGGCATTATGCCAATTTTAATTTGACAAGAAGTTACATCCCGTGAAAAATTACCCTTGTTGCAAATTCAGTAAATACGATTATTACGAAATTTTGTTTCATCTATCTCTGGCTCATAAAGTCTCGTGATATTTCCGTTAGCATTTACTGCCTTATTTTCAGTCAAAAATGTGTGTTTCAGATTTACTCTTTTAACGATAGTTAGATACGATGATAGATAACATACTACTGCAATTTTAGAACCGGGAGAAATAAAACAACTTTCGGCGTTATATACCGACGAGATCGCACCCGACTTTTATCCCGATTATGTTGATATATATATATATTGATATCTGCATTTATTGTACTAAATAAATTATACTCATTGGAATTGCAATAATAGCTCAAATTTGATAAATTCGCAAGATCGCAAAAATAAGAAATAAAACTGGATTTATTCGTGCAGCTCACCACGTATTTTCATATTCAAAGTAGAAGTGCTTTTATTTTAACGTAAGTCGGCGCAATCGCGAGATACGTTGAACACAGTTGTTATGGAAAGACTTTTTGAAATGCTCGAATTGGCCACAAATTGAATATTTTGCGCAATAGCAAAATTATTATTAACTGAAAAAGTAGGCGGTATTATCAGCGAGTGTCATGATCGCAGCGACATCTGCACAAATCGTCGCAAAGTAGCCTATTTATTATATATATTTTTTACATATATATTTATTCTGAACTACGCAACATAACAAAAAAATCGAGCGGCATGTAATGATTTCACTCCAGCATTCCACGGATGGCTAAAATAAAGGCAGAGTAGTGTGAATAAAAGTTGTTATTATATGCTCTGGGAGAAGTCAGTAGCCAATCAAAAAATATATCAAAATCACCAATGCGCGTATGCAATATTTATACTGCTTTACTATCCGGTTAACCGTCACAACAATATCCGGATATCAGATAGCAAAATAACTCTTGGTTAACCGTTATCCGGATAATCCAACCCTAGTCCAAATCATAAAATAAGGTTTTGAGGCCCAAAAATTTCGATGGAACTTTTGAATTTAGCCCCGTAATAAACTTGTTAAGGAGCATTTAAGTTGTTTAGTTTAAATGAAGGTAATTTATGAACGTTTGATTTATGAATAAAAAACATTGGCAAAAAATGTATATGTAATGTTGGATTTATAGAACTTTTTTGAGTATCACTGACATACGGTAATTGAAATTTATTGAAGGCGCACTAGAAATTGCTTCACGATTGAGCTGCTCCCCACAGTGTATCGATCACTGGTTTATAAAACATCGCTACTAAAACACTGAGTATTTTACAATAATAAAGTTTACAGTATTAGGATATTTTATATGTAAATGAGAAACAAAAAAAGTATCCAATTCTAGAAATCTGCTCGCGGGCCCGCAGACCGCAACTTGTCCGGGCATGGATTAGCACTTAGTAGTAGTTGAGATTGGTTTACAGATTGGCAGTTGGAGTACCAGGAATACCGCCATGAATTAGAAGCTGTGACACAGCCCAATGTTGTCGTTTATCCGAATAATTCAATATTATTGTGACCGGAAATATTATGCGTTTAGTGAAGAAATATTGTCTGCGTTGTGGAGAGTTCAGACGCCCAAAATTAATGTTTTTGAGTCCACACCGTTTTTAGCCGTTGTTCACAACTGTGTGCGCGCGTGTGTTCATGCTTATTTCAGCAGTTCAGTTTACTTATCTGCTAATTGATATTTTTAGATGTGTGAATTGTGGCACCATTGTACATTAATTATTTCGCTATTATTTTGTGTGGCAACGCTGCGATGGATCCTAGCTATATTAAATACGTATTTTTAACGTATATATTGAAACATTTAGACATGGCATTAATACAATTATATTCACGAATCGCCTCACGGTAACAGGATTCTCAATCTCAACTCGCCTACCGTACAATCGTGGTTACAATTAAAACCTTTTCAAGTACAACTATGGAACAACTGAAATGGCTATGTCTCTTCTAAAATGACCATGTTCAAAATGGCTATGTCTTTTCTGATATGTCTATTTCTATACAACAAAAGTATGCCTCCAATAAAACGTCGATGTCCGTAATAACAATATCGACTATGTATACTAAAATGCCTTCCGGTACTACCACAATGTCTTTACAAAAATGACGACCTCCGCTATGTAGTGGATAGCTATGTAGATAATTATGTCCATACCACAATGGCGATGTCCTGACTAAACTGGCCATGTCTGCTATGACCCTACTAAAATGGTTATGTTCGCCATATCCCGTGAGAAATGGCGATATACGCTATATGCAGGGTTACCATATCGTGCCTATTTCTAAGATTTGTGCTTATTTTCTAGCTTGCGTCTTATAAAGTAACGTTGTGCTTATTTCTAAATAAAGTGCTTATTTTTGAGTTGCGTGCTTATTTTGTCTTAGAAACATGGATGGCACCTTCATGTTTGAATGCTCTTATGATGGGACGATGTTTATCATTATACACAACGCGTTTTCGCGCTTCGTCGTGTTATTATTGTGACGTATCGATTAACTACGTTCCAACGTAACCTCATGCCTCGGACTCGCGCACTCTCAGCAGCGCAGAACTGTTTCTGTTGGCGGTAGGGTTTGTCGTATTTCCAGGCAAACTGTGACACAGTTACAATAGTTGGTGTTAGTTTTTGAGAATACTGTTAAAAATTGGGAGACTCGTGTATGATCACGTTCCCATTTTTATTCTGCGTTTCTGCCGTTGATAAGACCCACCCCACTCGAAAAATAACATTTTGAAGCCCGTGCCTATTTTTGGATCGGGGTAGATGGCAACCCTAATAGTACACAAAGCGGGGGTGTTTAGCATCCAGATTTGGCCAAGAGGAGCAATCGTCCTTAATGTATACCTACTATGACAAATAATGTGGCAAAGAATTTCAGCAAGCTATCATTTGAAAGTTCACAAAGACATTGTAGGTGATCTTTCTAGTTTTAGCTTCATCGGCACACCAGGAATTGATGATAAAAAATAACAAAATGCGAAAATTTAGATATCCGTCTTGGTGCGCAATCGACAAAATTAAGGGCACAATGATTCCAAATTTCCATGCCCATTGGGAAGCGACAGAACAGATAATTCTGAAGCACGAGACAAAACTGAGTTCTAATACTGAAGATACAATCAGAAGCGTATTCATGATTTTGAGTATGACCTTTGACACTAAATGATTTGTTGCCGTATTTGTAATTCAGGCAACAGGAAATCTACTGTAGGTCATATTAGATTTCCGGAATCATTCTGACGTCATAATAAATTGCTTAGTTGATATTCGGATTGTATCAAGCTTATATACACTGAACACTTATATACGTTGATGAATTGCACCAGAATATTGAGGATCACTTATTCCCTGTATCAGCAATTCTGAACGAGACCCGTTTTTCATCTAGAGTTCTAGACCTAGGTTGAATTTCAAATAAATATGAGAATCCCAAAACGAATTGTAAGAGTAGTCATATTCAACGATGGATTTCAACTAGAAAGAGATTCCTGCGTTCGTAAATCTTTCTACCGGCCGAAATTTTATTTTATTTAGCTTACCGTAATTCATGTAAGAAAAGGTGATGTGGATGGTTCCAACTTTGTATTCCGTGATTTCATACTATGAGCAAATATCGAGGTCTAAACTCACAAGTATTTAACGCAGCTCAACTTCCATATTGAATAAATTATTAGATGTAGTTTCAAACAATAAATAAGTTACCGGTACCGTATGGAATAAATTCTGGGTAGCGTGTAATTTTTTTGAAAGGTGTTTCGATCATGTTAAGTTATCTAAGCAATTACAACGTATAGAGAGTGATTATTTCATAATTCTGAATATCAATCCACGTTATCCAGGCGGAAATTGTGCTTCTGATCTATAGCCACTACTCACTCTTCATACGTTCATTCTTGTTAAGTTTAAAGATACGTAGCAATAGCATACACGCATTTTCCGGTATACTTGCAACTATACATTCTGTTTGTTAAATGGTATATTTAACAAAGAGAGTGAACTGTACGTGAATAGCTGAAAAAAATTGCTTAAATTCTAGCTACATATAATTAAATTATTCAAAAAATGCAGATTCAGATTCGCACGTTTTCAAGATGGTCTAATTTTTTGATTGAATATTTTAAAATAATATTCTTCGTTGAAGTGCAGTTAGTTCGAAGACTTTATTTGATAAATCAGCAGGTACAATGTCGTGACGGATGAACTGCGGATTTTTTGTGAATGAGATGAAAAGGTTAACATAAGATGATGTGGCATCATAATGCTTTTTAGTACATAGTTGGTGTTTTATCATTGCCGTTTTTCTAATTAAACCTCAAAAAACCCAAAAGTTAAGATTTAGGCTATTTTAAACATTGAGGTCGGTCGATAGTTCGGATAATGAAGATGGATTATACGCTTTTGTCGGTATTTCTCATGTTTACAAGTGTTTCAGCACAAGGTAAGTTGATTGACTTGATTACTAAAATGTATATTTCGAGCGAATAGCGAATTTTTGGATGGAATACCACATCACATTGGATTCATACATTTTGGGGATAATTAAAAGTAATAGCCCTTTAGCGAATAATACGATCTTTAACCACTGCAAATTTCAAAGCAATAGGTCCGTTAGTGAATGAGAAAAGCTATTTTTTCATAACAAAGAGAATAAAAATACCAACAACAACATAATAGCAAAACGATTCATAGGTACACTTCTTGTCCAATAAATTAGAAACACACTGTACAAATACAACCGTATTTATTTGATCGTAGTTTGAAACTTATTGCGGCCCTTTTACCTTCAAGTAGTATCGAAAAGAATTCGCTGAATTGGCAGTATTTAGCTTTCAATAAACGTAATGTGATTTATTTTTAGAAAAAAAATCGTTCGAATTCGAAATCGGCAGTTTTGTGATTGGTTTTCTTATTTCTTCGATCTTCCTGGTAGTTCCAGTCTGGACCATATTCAAAATGCAGAAAAAAATAAAGAGTATGCAGAAAAATGCAGAAGTAAAAGTACACAACTACGAAACTATTGAAGAAAGAGGTAATACTATTTAAAGTGGACCAGAACATCTTTACTTCAAATATAATATTTTGGTTCTAGTCAGCCAAGTTGTTACAAGGGTATTGGATTTTCCAACTGAAGTTTTCAATTTTCATTCTCTCATATGTTTAAACTAGTAGGATCGGCAATCAAATTTTCATTTCACTTCAATAATCATTACATATTAGCTACCTATGGAGAATATAAAGAAATTGAAAGCCCTTGAAGGAATCCGATTCGTTAAATATAAAGTTAAAGGCCTACTAGCATAGGCGTAGCCCTGGGGCAGAGGGGCCATGGCCCCCCCCAAAAAATTTTCAAGAATTCCATTCCTATTCCACCAGTTTTGTGGCATCTTGTCTCGTCACGCTTGCTGATTGCCATTGTTACGTCACAAAGACTTGACCGTTCACTCTTATGAGCAGTATGGGAAAGAGTGTTTCGCAAGCTTTCGGTCAGTTACTTGGTCTTGATTTGTTCTCGCCGGATTTTTATTCGAAACGCTTGGATTTTGATGACCAAATTACTTCGATGGCTAAATTTAAACAGGCGAAATTCGATAGTTTTTTTCAGCGAAATAAAGACTCGCTTTCCTCAAATACATCAATAAGCGCTTCTCAGGCTGTGGATGCACCGGTTACGTCAGTTACGTCTATCACTTCTATTCCCGAAGATGAACTAATAATCAACGAAGGGAAAACAAACGATCTTGGATTTATTCTTAAGAAACATACACAGCTTACCGATGCGGAGAGATACAGGCTTCTAACTTCGGATGGTCCGAAAAACGTGACGATTCTGGATACTGTTAGACAAAGTCGTCGTAAATTTCTCAAAAAATGGCTTGACGATAACAGATTTTGCAGTTGGTTAGTTTACACCCAACTCTCTGATGGGGGTGGTTTGTGTAAGATATGCATAGTCATGCAAGCACGTTTGAAGCATGGAACTCTCAGGGACACTGCCTTTGTTACAAGACCATGCATTGACTACAAAAAATTTATGGAAAAGGCTGTAGCACACCGAGACACAAATTACCACCGAGAATCAAATATAGCTGCGAAAAATTTTGTCAAAAGCATGGAAACTGGTCAAAATGTGCGTGCAAACATGGAGGCCCAATATGCTACGCAAACAAAAGAAAACAGACGAATAATGACTTCCATTGTCAAGACTGTCATGTTCTGTGCTTCGGGTAACATACCCTTGCGCGGACATTCCGGGGATAGTGGAAATTTTGTGAACCTTCTTCTATTTCGTATCGACGCAGGGGATGAAGATTTGAAAAGGCATTTCGCTCGAATGGCCGGAAACGCTAAGTATACAAGCCCGATGATACAAAATGAAATTCTCAAGGTAGCAAGCAACATGATAGTGCAAGATATCGTTATGGAGGCTAATAAATCGTTTGTGTCCGTAATAGCCGACGAATCATGTGATATTTCTGGGAAAGAACAACTAAGCATCGTTTTGAGGTATGTGAAAGGTGGTGAAGTGTGCGAGCGCTTCACAGGATTAGTGGAAATGGATTCTGTTTCTGCCGAATCAATTTCCTCAAATATTTTGACCCACCTCTCTGGTATAGGAGTGGATTTGCAAAAACTTGTGGGGCAAGGCTATGATGGTGCAACGACAATGGCAGGTCACGTCAGCGGTGTGCAAAAACGCATTCGTGATAAATACCCGCGCGCAATATTTGTGCACTGCGCTTCTCATTGTTTGAATTTGGTCATAAATGACCAAAGTAAAGTTGCAATCATCAGAAGCACCTGTGATATCATTCGTGAGGCTATTCGATTTTTCAGGGAGAGCCCTAAAAGGGCTCTAAAAGGCCTACAAGAGCATCCGAATCTTCAAATGCAACTTCAAACGAGTACTTGAGGCTCTTGATTCTTTGGCGAGAGACGCTCAAAGTGAGACGCGGGCGAAGGCTTTTTCTCTGAAATCTGCTCTAGAAAAGTCGTCGGTTATCTACGCCGTATGTTTGATTGGTCGATATTCGGCACTAATGGAGCCACTAGCGCGCGCACTTCAGGCGGTCGGAGTCAGTGTGCCGTCAGTAAAGAACCTCACATCCTCTCTTCAGAGCGTTATCGCTGAAGAACGCAATGACTCTGAAATCGCATTGAATATTTACAAAGAAGCTTGTGAAATAGCTGGCTTGAAAGAGTAGTCGAAGTACGAGTTTATCGCGACAATGTCTGTGCTGATTCAGCATCCCAGTATTTTAAACGTTCCGTATATCTCCCATACGTCGACGGCTTGAGCTGCTCTATTCGGGAACGCTTCATTGACAACCCATCATTTTTTTCATTGCTATCAATTCTTCCACCGAACAAACCAGTTCACGTGGATGAGGTAGAGCGTCTGTATTTATTGGATAACCTCCAGAATGAAGTGAGACTGTGGAGAACTTCTTTAAGTTCCAACGTTAACGACGAATGTTTGGAGGGGCTTCTTCTGAGCGCTCGAGATTATCCAAGCGTGTACACCGCAATACAGATCGTTATGACGCTACAAGCGGTCTTTCTCATGCATGAAACGGGTAAAGACATGGCTGCGCTCATCAATGACGTCCAATCGCCTTTCTGATTTGTGTGTGCTTCACTGTCACCGTGAAATGGTCACCGAGGAGAAAATTAATCGAGTTGTGTCGAGCATAGTTGGCGGGAAGCGAAGGATGGACTTTTAATTGGGGCGATGTATTTTACTTATTCAAATTGCGTTGTTAATATTTGGTTGTTTCAAATAAAAAATTGTTTATTAATGGATTTTGTATTCACAAAAATCCAGCTGAGTAATTGAATCAGTTTGCTTGGTGACCAACTGTTGTTGTTTTGCGCTTGAAGAACGGTGTTTTAAACCCAATATAATTTCTAAAATTTTCAAATTTGGCCCCCCCCAAAATTTTGGGCTGGCTACGCCACTGCCTACTAGGAAACATGCCCATCTTTTATTACTAAAAGTTAAAGTGTTTATTCCAGTGTATCGTGTAGGATTTACATATTTATCCCGGATTATCAGTCCATGTCAGGTATGAGATTAGTTATTAGCCAGTTATTTGTTTCAGTTTCTTGGACTTGATTGTAGGCCATTGTACATAAATTGCGCTCAATTTTCACTTAGCGTTTACCACAGATTGCATCATTCGGATTTTCTATCAATACTATTATATTTTAAATCTAGTCAATATCGTTGCCATAATTACCAATTACAGTTTTTTTTCGAATTCTTAGCAACTCCTCCTAACAACCCAGTATTTCAACCAACGTATTCGAATGTGCTGCAAGAAACTGCCGGTTACGAACAAGCTTGTTTTACGACAACTATCCAAACACAGGAGGAATCAGCTTACGAAAATTGCAACGCCTAATTTCAGCTGTGCAGTATCTACTAGAATATCACATAAAAAAAAGAAAATTTAAAACAAGTCGTCTTTCAAAGAATATTCATCAAACTCATATCATACAAGATCTTAGCTGGCTTTGATAGTTCAACCTTTTCGTCATACATCCAGGCTAACGCAGTTATCCCATTTCTCACATAGGGTGTTGTTATCCCATTTGTCTATTGTCATAATAGTTCTTTCTACTGTAATCGCTTTGTCTGCTTCTGAGTAGGCCTATATCTCAGTCCGAACACCGTGATCTTGATTACAAATCATCAGTCCCAATCATGTGGATCGCTTCTTATTCTCTTGGGTCTCTTGTTTTATAACAAAAACATACAAAAGTTTTCATCTCATTTTCTGATGAATTTTATTGTTTATTTTGAATTCAATATCGAACCGCTGCTTTATAATAATAGAATTATGTAGGACATCTGCGCGAGCACTGGTAGTAGTGCAGCTTGTCATTCAATGCAGTATTTAAAATTTGAAGAAAAGATTTGTCAAATATTTACTTTTGATCTCTTTAATACAGAGTGTATTCAAAAATTGATTTCCATTTGCAACAACTCGGCTTTATGAGACTGGATTCAGTGCAATGTGTGAGTTAAAAACGAAGCATCGAAATCAGTTGAAAGCTGATGATTGTTTCGTATTAGTAAATTATTATTCGTATTAGTAAATTTTTCGATCATAATATTACTACATGCCGTTCAGTATTTAATCGTATTCTTGGGTTGTGAGATTTCCCAACATTTTTGGGTCGCCGGAAAAAAGATTGGGAACCAGTAATATGAACGATTCTGAAATCTCGAAAAACTTTGGAGTGTTTTTATGAAACGTTGTAACATAAAATATAACAAAATTTTCAGTCGCGAAGTTTACTCGTTTTTCAGTGAATAGCTTCTGGTACTGACAACTATTGTGAATATACTAATGTCATAATGTTCCTGCTGTCTCGTTCTCGATCTTCAATATTGAGGAAACATTTTCGTGAAAGTTCGCCTAGAAATAGACTATTATTTGAATCCTATAAACGCTCGGGATTCCAAAATAAAAATTTACGTACAAAATTGAATATCAATTAAACACGAAAATCCTGTTTTCCCAGTTCCTCTTTCACTTTATCGCTTTGTTAATTAACATGTTACAATGCAAACGAGTAGTGAAGCCATTCTTAGGTGAATGCCATGAAAATTCCACAATACACACTCCCGCTTTTTAGAATAAGCGTGCATGCTTACGAACGGGCGTGCACTCGGACAATTAACAACTAAACACAATTGCTTTGTGCGAGATATCTTTAGATGGCATTCGGCGGCATCAGACGAAGCGAAAACACTTCCACATTTCCAAATATTCAGTCGGTGCAGCATGGAATAACTAGTTATCGGGCTAGATATCCTAGCGCTCAATGTTTTATACATAAACTATGATTGCATCACAGGTTGAAATCTGGTTCAAATCCCATGCCCATCACCTCACCCAAGGTATTATGAATTGAGAAGGAAATACCGAACCGAATATGACCGCGGTACTTCCAGACTATGGTAACCTTTTTCCTAGCAGAAGATGTGAAGAGCTGTTTGAACCTGAAAGCGTTTAATCTCGTCGTATAAAAAACTGGGAGATGCAATTTTTATGCTGTTGGGTCCGGTGAGCTGGTGAAGATCTCTGAATCGACAAACATTTCGCTGATAACCCTGCGGGGTTTCGCGGGTTTAAATCTCGGGATAGGTGAGTTTTTGTTTCTTCAACCGAGTACAGTAATCACGAGAATAAAAATACGACAACAGACGCAAAGTTATTGGTGTATACTGGAGGGAGAGATACTACCGTGCGGTCATGAATGTCAGCTCCCCCTTATCAAATATTAACTGCATAGGATTTACGGTTATTTGGTGACTATAGGGCAGCGGTCGGCTAAGTTTAACGAGTGAGGACCACATATTAGAATTTGAAAGGTTTCAAGGCCCAACAATTTTGTTGGAACCATTAAATTTAACCACGTAATAAACTTGTTGATGGACATTTAATTTGTTCAGTTGAAATGAACGTAACGTATGATCATTTAATATATGAAGACCATTTGGCAAAAATATTAGATGTATATGTAATTTATACTTTTTGATAGCCCACTAGACCGCGGCACACAGTTTGCCGACCGCTGCTATAGTAAGGTATACACAAAAAAATGGATGGATGTAATAAAAAATACCTGCCACGGTAATTCTAATGCGTTATAAAAGGATATTTTCTAATCGGATATTTATGGTTGGAATCGATGGACTAAGTTGGCGTTGTTAGAAGATAGATTCGACACTTGTGAGCTTGTAGGTTTGATATGAAAACTCTTCAGATTTCGTAAATTCCGACCCCCGACATGGTGCGTTCGAAGCTCTAACTCTAGGCCGCGTGCAAGACTCCAATACCAATAATAACATCAAACCCGAATCCAAATGCATGGTTCGTATGCATAATACCGATCAATTTTTGTACTTTATGATTCACACAAAAAATCTCTACAAACCCAGCATCAAAATCAGCACAGCCAGATGTACACTCGTGTAGCAAAATGGTTGCAATTCTATATAACCCAATATGTTGTATAACTTATGAAATATTTTATTTCACATTATGTATTTGCCGAGGGCAAACCAATAAAACCTGCATTTTACTTTTTATAAGCTACAGTGCTGCGCATTAGCTACGGTTTTGTTAAACAACGAGCGTTGTCCAAAAACAACTGAATTTATGAACATATCTGCGTTGAAGTTTTAACAATGCTATGCTGCTATAATGAAATATCCTTTGTACGCTGCAAAGGATTGTTAAGTTGATGCACAAAAATTCAAATATCCTCAGGGGTTCCATTACATTTGAACCCACGTACATTTGAACCCGTAATTTGAACCCACGACAATTGCACTTGCATACTATTGCAACTATGGAAATTTTTTTTATGGATATCTGAACCCATCTTAACCCTAACCCATGGATTTTAGCACCCTCATATAGATTGAACCCGCGGATATACGGGTGCAAATGTATGGGTCAAAGTACGTGGGTTCAAATGTACGGTCACCGGCCTCATGTGATATATTCTCTGAGTGTCACGTAGATAGCAGTGAAATATACTCTTCTTTTAAAAATGTTTATTTTTGGTTCTTTAGAGTTTTTTAGACCAAATGCCGAGATATGGACCCAAGCACTTCGATGACTTTTGTATGCTTCATTATCTAGAGAAAGTATAGTGAATAATGTTCACTGCTTTGTAGTAGTTTTCTATTATACGCCGGTGCTTGTTGCATACGTCATTTATTTGTTAGCAAAAATAAATGTGAGACACATTGAACTAGACGTTAGCAGTTAGTCATCGAATAGATAATTTCTCACGTATTTTACATAATCCAAATATGGATTTATTTTGTTTTTATATCACGAGAGGTTTGTAAACATGTATGTCGCGCTACTCACGAGTTAGTTTAACATAGATGACATATATGTAGCAAGTAGCATACAGTACAACTCTATATTTGTCCACAAGCAAAGGTAAATAATTGTTCTTTATACTTGTGCAGCCAATTGGAAATATACGACAAGGCGATACCAAGAATTTTTTGGCCGTCTCTCACAAACTGCTTCGAAGGCCCTCGGCTATCAGCACGCAAGCGTGACCACTGCAAAGATAAAACCGAGTGATTTACTAGGCTGTATCAATTCTCGATGTTCTGACTACAGGCAGATAACCACAGCGCAACTCTCTCTACAACTACAATGCTTTGAATAGTTCAGTGTTATGTTTTACCTTTAAACTAAAGCGAGGCATATATCAAAAATTTAAATACGGCGATTACTTTGGGGAAAGGAAGAATTTAGAAACAAATCAACCTTTTTGATACTCCCAACGTGTGATCTCCTTTACCAAAACACGTGTTTTTGTACCTATGAGAAGCAATTTGGTAAAGAAGCATTTTATCGAGAGATATCGTTATTTAATTAGGTTATCTGACATACTGGTACTAGCTTTAGATAAAAGAATGGATAAGCCCAGTCCTTATCCAGATGTTGTCATACCCACTGAGCCGATAGCAAGATTGTTGCTGAAACGTGTCAAATGCTACGGTGACAGAGAAGCTCTGGTGAGTGTTTCACGTCATTTGAAAAGATCAATACATAATTATTTCTATTTTCAGTCGAGCATTGAAGCTTTCCACATACGAACAATACTCACGGGGACGCAAGGGCAATTTGTCGGCGTTAGGCGCGACTATATTAGTGTTGCAAGTTGAAAATCTCCGGTTCAAACCCTATGCTCTCCACCTCACGCAAAGCGCAATAAGTTGTGTAAGCACTGCCGTACCAGAAAGATTTCAAGTGCTCTCGAGAATAGCAGCTTACGTTAGTTAGTGACTGCTTATATAGAGACTTTTAAGGAGTGAAAACGTCTCATACGAGAAAAAAAACGGTCACCTCGGTCATTTTAGCTTGTTGGTAAAAAAAATAAAGGCGTGTTGACACTTAAACTTTCATCATACAACGACTCGATGTTGTTCAGTTAGTCTGCATGATATTTTCGTGTAATTTTTATTTGAGTATGGTTCAGTACCGTTAGTAACGGTTTCAGAAATGGCTTGATACGAGCGCAATTTAACCATCTGAGAAATTTCAAGTTAAAATTATACGTGAGTTATTTGTAAATTACTGATCACGGGTGAAATCAGCGTGGACACGCAGATTATTCAAGATTGCCCGAATCTGCGTAAAATACTTCAAACGGAAACTTTTAATTATAGTAAAAATTAGGCTCGTTTAAAACAGAAATTAACTGCATTATAACATGACAATTCACTTACTATTATGTATAACTAACATTAGATTTGTTTTTGGAAAAACATATTTAATCATTGAGTACCGTCGTATTCTTTTCAGGTCGATAATACCAGAGGAACATCTATCACCTTTATGCAAGTCTACGAACAGACAAGGAAATGTGCCAGCGCACTCCGTAAACTCGGGATCAAAAAAGGCGACGTTATCGCGATCGGTTCATCTAACCGTGTCGAATATGCAGTTGTTATGTTAGCAGCGATTTCGTGCAATGCAATCCCATCACCTTGCAATCCATTGTACCAGAAAGGTAATAACTTCGTGCCTTCTTTTCAAATATTCGCGAAAAGTATAATGCTTTGCCTTCAAAGCATTTGATAAACAACATTCTGATCCACCAGCCATGTCATCGCGAATGTTTTGAACGACTGAGCTAGCCCACAATAAATATCTAACAGATGACAGCACATTTGAACCCACGTACATTTGAACCCATATATATGCACTCGTACATCCGCGGGTTCAATCTATATGAGGGTGTTAAAATCCATGGGTTAGGGTTGATATGGGTTCAAATATCCGTAGGTGCAATTGCGTGGGTTCAAATTACGGGTTCAAATGTACGTGGGTTCAAATATAATGGAACCATCTGACAATATTATAAATGTATGAATATTCCATCCATAGCTGTAGGTTGGATCGACTTTTCACGTTAGGTTACCGTTAGAGCTTGATTTTTTAATTATTTTTGTTACCTTTACAAGTTTAATCGTCTAAGTTCCAAATCATTTCTAGATCGGACATTGCCAAAGATAATCAAGGTTATTCAATTTATTGGTTTATTTCAAATTCAACCTGTTTTATGATTGCATATATGATTACTTTTTCTAGGAGAACTCATTGAGCTGTTCAAGATCTCCGAACCAAAAATATTTTTCTGTGAATCAGGAAATGCAGATGTTATAAAGACATTGACTGAAAATATTCCGACCATTAAGGTATTTGGCGTTCATTACATTAATTTCCGCGCGCTGCAACAATTGGTTGCACAAATTGGTCATGCGGGAGTTACTTATTGTTAGTTGTTACCCATTTTATTTTTGTTTCTCTCACATTTCTAGATCTCAAGATAATATTAGGCTATTATTACTAAACAGAAACTATATGGCGTGATTCAATATTAATGTTTTTGTTACCTCAGACTTGATTTCATTCAATGTTTGTAACTAATTTAACATTTATTTTGAAAATTTATATATCGTATAGAACTATTTCTCATTTAATGCAAAAATTAAAATTATTCTAGAGCATTTTCACGTTCGATAAAAAAGAAGGTTTTACTTCATATGCTGACCTCATTAAAGACGACGGAAAAGTATTATTCACTAATGGTATTTTGAGTATTCACTAATGGTATTTTGAGAAGCAATAAATCATAGAAGCGTATGATTATGGTTGAGTGGGAAAGATTGAGGGGCTAACAAAATCTCATGGTTTCTTAGGTGAAAGGGCATTCCTTTCTAATGAAAATTCAGAAAATAGAAATCAGTATTTGCTCTTTTCTAGCCTTGTATCTGTTCACAATATTTGTAAGTGTTATCAAAATCTTATTTTATTAATTCGCTCTAATTTGCTATACGAAGCGAAATTTGATCTGTGTTACGGTTTCTGCTTCATCAACAATTCCAATAAACTCGTCTAAGTTCAGCTCCTATGCATCCGTTTTTGCAATTTACAGATTATCCTGAGAACGAACCCATAGATGTGATGAAAGATGTGGCGCTTTTGCCGTACTCAAGTGGAACAACTGGCCTCCCAAAAGCAGTCATGCTCACTCATTATTCACTTTCATCACTTTTTACAATACTTCGGTGGGTTAAATAGAATTTATATGTTGTTTTTATTACAAATATTTATGGACGATTTTCCATTAGAAAAGAATTTTCAAACGCAAAAACATTGGCACAAGTTGATTAGGGCGCAACACCAATGCTATATCAAAAACGATACTAGAACATAACACAATTTTGAGATGAAGAGAAAGATTTTAAATAGATGTCGTTTCAATAATAAGCACTATCAATTTAACGGAAAGACTTTTCGAACCGAGCATAATCAGGTCCGTCTGTATTTCATTTTCGTTGGTGCATGGAAGCAGTGCAGACACACTCAAATGTAATGCCAACTCACTATGCAGCTCTACCGCAAATCCAGTCATTTGAGAACAGACATTGTATCAGTCTCCTCCATACTTGATTCGTTATCACGAGGTTTATGGTACTACGATATTCCTTCGCGTCTGCATGATTGATGTTCCTATTCTGGTTTATTAATTTTTTATACAGATCACAAGTGAATCTTTTTGTGGGTGACTGCTTTTTTATGGTTATTCCGATGTTTCACATATTTGGATTCGGAACAGTTGTTTTCACCTTATTTATGGGCGTCAAAAACGTTTTTGAACCTAGATTTGGACTTGAATCTATGTTACAAGCCTTTGAGAAGCATAAGGTAACAACCTTGTTTAAACATATAAATAGGAAAAAAAAGTGAGCGGCGCTCTAGAAGTATGTGCACCAATATGGAGGTGACTAATTTTGCTCGTCTACTTTACATCAAGTTGTGTAAAGGGACTGAAACCTATTGGCAGGGGTATATTTACTTGTCTAACACAGACAGTCCCCGATCTCGTAATAGAACTAAAATAAGGAAAATCGGCATGAAATTAAGGTCTAACCCTTACCTGGTACACATACTACAGGACAGGAGTATCAAGTGAACAGCGGTCCCACGATTTTATTATTTGGAATATCAACAGAACATTTGTTATAAGTTCCCATTGTGAATCATTAAGGCTGAAACTTGAATTTATATATGTTTTACCACTTATTTGTAGTTCACGATGTTTATGGAGACATGGTCTAGTTTATTCTATCTCAACCCCGGTATGTGCCCCTTGTCTCGATCGATCAAATGCATTCTTACGTCTCTATTTTTATTATTTTAGGTAACCCACTTCACCGCTGTCCCACCGATAATGATTGCTCTCACTTTGACTCCTTTGTTCGAGAAATACGATACCTCATCTCTGAAGCAAATGCTTTGTGGAGCGGCTCCGGTGGCGCCTAAACTCACCGAAGATATGATAAAACGATACAACATTATCGTATCTCAATGTATGGTAACTTTATTCTTTATATACAATTAAGCGTTTTGTTTCTGTTCACAATCAATCCACATTGTCTGTATTAGGGATTCCAAATGCGCAAACGCTTTATGTTTTGAACTAGCATGCTGTAATGTGTGATTGTCTTGTTCGGGGTGGACTAAATCCTGTTACACAATGAAGCTGTAATAATGGATTGTTTAGAATTTTATTTTGATTTCTTGTACTTTCTGACTTTGAATTTAGATTATATTGCTTTGGAACGTTTTAAATTATATTTTTTATTACAGTACAGAAGTATCTTTCGATCAAAATCATTGAGTAAATACACCAATTTTGAAACTTACATACAGAATGTAGGGCAGTTTTTACCGGAGGCGTTTTGAGCGCAATGTCTAAAGTCCAAAGCTTAATTCGCAGAAATACGACCTACATACGGGGCATGTCATCCATAATACTGCTTGGCAGTGAATATTTAGAAAATATTATCATGTGCCGAGTATGTAATATACATTAGGCGCGAGTGAGCAATTTGCACATCTTTGGAACATACACGATTGTGGGTGAATGATTTGAATAGTTTGCCACAATGACGGTCGGTCATTCATTTTGACAAGCACAATTTAAACCTGATTATCGTTAATTTAATATATCTGCGCCAGCTTTTTATTAAAAACATGTACTTTTTCATATAACTACAGGTAAGTTCAATGGCCTTAAGTATCCACACATTCTCGCACGAATGTTATTATTAATGCCCAGTGTTAATTTACTGATGCAATATTTATTTATCATATTCACATTCAACATTGTTATAAAATATGTATCGCTTTCACATTATTCAAGTTAGCAATTACTGGCAAGTGCCACGAGAAAATCTATCTGCATATATATATATATATAGATATCAGTGCGTATGAGTGATCTTTTTTGAAAATTTGCCTAAAATTAATCTTAATTTGGTTTATTTTCATCTGCTGGAGCAAATAGCACACTTGCAAAATACAAGTGCCTTTCTTGCATCTGAGGTATTTTTAAATTCCCTCCCAATCGAGCTCTGAAAAATGCTAGAAATATTTTGAAATACCACACACAGTGGTCAAACTACTTTCTCATCCATCATAGTTACAAGCGAAAGTTACAGCACAAACCTCGTTTAATTATTACATGGAACAATAATTGTAACCCTAAACAGGCATCGTCTTATCAAACTTTAATGATCGATTTGCCCGTGATGATGCACTGATAATCCAACCCGCGTGCAAGTACAAACTTTAGAAAAAACGCGTAAAATATCTTGGTTCTATTAATCATTTTTGAATAAAACATCCATCTATATCTCGCGATTTAACAATTTTTTTTAATTCTTATTTTGTCAACTTTAGTGTATGGCTTGACGGAATTCGCGCCGATATCGATTGCCAATCCAGTGACGTATTCGTATTCATCAGCTGGGGTTATTTCACCCAATACCATTGTTAAGGTAAGGAGTGTCCTATTTGGAATTATTTACATAACACTATTGGTTATTCCAGGCCAAATAATTATGTTATTTATTGAATTTCCAAGTGGGTTTTCTGGCTCACCCTTCTGCTAGTACTAGCTAAGATGATTCATATTGATGTTTTAGCGAAAATATCACGCCGATGACACTAAAAATGGAATACAGTCACAGTTCTGGTATCTTTTGTTCGAAAACAGATCCTGCCAACGCTCAAAATTGGGTTACGAATACAGATTACGCCGGTAATTCAAATCATTCCCAACCCCAACAGGACAATTACTAATTTGTTATTCTAAAACGTGACTGGGTTGTTTGTCTCAAATCTCACATTTTTGCGTTAGTGGCGGGGGCTTTGTACAAAAGATCCCAATTCTATATATCCTAACATGTATATATATATATATATATATATATTGCTCAAGTTAAAATATACCCAATCCCGGTAAGACTGTTTTTCCTTCGAAATTTATTTTCTACATAGATTATTGATGTTGAAACTGGAAAAGAACTAGGACCCGGCGAAGATGGAGAAATAGTTGCCAAGGGCCCACAGGTAATTAAAAAAATGTTAGACCAGGCCTGCACAACGTACGGCTGACGGGTCACACGTGACAGCTTTTCATGCGGCCCGCGAGGTGATTTAAAAATATGTACTCACACGTACAAAATATAAGTGATCGGTGCTAAAGAATATTTATAAGTTACTTCTACATAATTTAATCTAAATGTTCAAATTACTGATACAAAGAACATTCAAGTTGCTCATTTTCGTACAACTTATATTTAAGTACCGTACTTTCGCAAAACGGCGTAGGATTTTGGCATTATAGGACTCTTTGTTACGTCATAATATCTTGTGCGCTGTAAGGGACAAATTTATTAAGCGTATGCAGTAGTGGACTTTAGTACCAGCATTTTTACCAAAACCACAATGACCGAGCAAGAGATTGAAAACAGTCAAGCAATTGAGTAAATATTTATGAGGATCTTGTCGCAGGCAAAAACAACATATCTCAACAAAGCCTGGTTGTGTCGAATTGATAGTGTGTTACACTGTTTATAGTTTTACGGTATATTACGAAAAATATGACATGATATAATATATAAGTAGTAATGATACCTTGCATCCCGAGAACAATTGCTTTTGTACGTTGCGGCCCTTACGTTCATTCGAGTTATGCAGGCTTGGGTAAGCCCATTATAACAGTTTAAGATGAAGCGAGACAATAATGATAATAATTTGTCGGTTCTCGCAAATTTGGGTAAAAGAATATACTAGATAGCTTTAAATAACAATTATTCATGTGTGGACTACAGGTAATGTAATGCTTAATTAGTATAATGGTGTTTATTCGTGAATTCCGAGCAGGTGAACTCAATGCCGATAATTATCGCACAGTTTCAAATTATTATTTGTCATGGTCGTTCTTTGTCCGAAGTGATCAAACTATTTAGGACAATGTTTCCAGTTTATAAACATAATTTTTAGTTTTGCCTGGTGTAAAAAAACGTTTCTGATTTATCCTTTTGTAATAAGGTTATTCCCCTTTGTTACCCTGAATCTGAGTTCTATTTTAGATGATGAAAGGGTATATGAAAAATCCAGAATCAACGAACGCAACAATACGTTCTGGCTGGCTTCATACTGGTGATATTGGTCATTTTGATGACGCCGGTATGCTATGGGTTGTGGATAGATTGAAGGAACTTATTAAATGCAAAGGTTTTCAGGTAAAATGATGTTAAGTTAGCATAACCATACTTTCTAATTGAAGATTTTATAATCTGAACGATTTATTATGGAATCTTAACTGCTAAGTCCCGGAAAATTTCGATTATAATAGTTTGGAGTTTGGAGCGTTTTAAGTTTTGTTTATACGTATACATGTTCCTGAAGGTTGCACCAGCCGAGTTGGAAGCTTTACTTCTTAAACATCCAAAAATAGCTGATGTGGCAGTAATTGGAATTCCACACCCAGAAGCCGGAGAGGTACCCAAGGCATTCGTTGTGAAAAAAGATCCGTCTCTCACTGAAGAGGAAGTAAAGAATTTTGTTGCAGGTTTGTCAATTTCATATTGACCCATCTGCTTGATTTTAGTTACATAGTTTCGGCGTGAAATTTAGATGAGTGACCCAATTCCAGCAGAATGATTTTTTTTCAGGTGAGGTAGCAAAATTCAAACATCTACAAGGAGGCGTGGCGTTCGTGGAAAAAATTCCAAAGTCACCCAGCGGAAAAATTCTTCGCAGAGAAATCAGAAAACAAGAATTCGGCAAATAAACGAAATGCTAATCTCTTTAATTGGCAAAAGCGCCATTTATATTGATACTACAATATATATTGAACGACACCATATTTTGAATTCTGACCACAATTTTAGCATTATTTAGTTAAACATAAGGTGATTGATGCAGTCTTTTCCCGTCATGACATAGCACACAATGCAACTTTCTAGTAACCATACACAAAGACATTTAAAAGCCATCTCAAAGTGACTATTGGACTTACTAACATATAACTAATTTCTCTTTTTTCTGATCTGTTTCGAATTGAAACCACATTTATTCACACATATAGTAAACGCAAGTACTAATCCGTTTTTTGCCAAGCTCGTACAATTTTGTTTTACTACAATTTTATTTGGTATTACAAATTATAATACCCAAATAACCAACCTGCATACTCAAATAGAACCATAACCCGGAAATTCATTTGTCGTCTTCGTGTGTACTGAATCAAGGGCTGCCAAAGTTTTCGCCTTTGGGTCGCATTCTTCGCGCTATTCCTCGGTCACATTGCCCAGTTTATTGGACACGAAGTGGACCTATGGATCGTTTTGTTATTATGTTGCTGTTGTGAGAAAATCGCTTTTCTGCACAGGAATACTTGCTTTGAATTTTCAGTGATTAAAACTTTTTGTTGTCGCTAGTATAGGCTATTACTTCTATTTATTACAAACATGTCTGTGGGCTCTATGGGATTCGTTTTTCTATTCCACGTTTTGTGTGATGGCGCCATCAAAATTACACCGTGACGTGGTTCCATGATCACATCTCGGAAATCAGGTAGTCAGACTACCGTGTACTGTAAAAGTTTTAATTCGTTTCGTTTTGCATTTCGTGTTTTTCAAGCTGAAATATTGTGCACTGTAATTTCTCAGTTTTATGCTGTCACAAACAACAGTTTTATGCCGTATGTCGCGTACAATTAAGGTGATAGTTACATATTATCGGTATCGACCTTAAGAAATATCGGTGTATCGATATCGGAGTTTTTTCGTTAGTATCGATATATATCGGCAAAAAAGTGGTATTGGTACAACTCCAGCTCAGACTCCATCACCTGTCGATGCCCGAGGAACTTTTTTAGAATGCTAAATATTAACATTCAAAACTGATTGGAGCGGCTACTATTATAATAAACAAAAACTTCCATGCGAGAGCAGACACTGAAGTTTATTGAGCATAATACTCAGCATGCCATATAGATAAAATGGCGCTCCGGAAGTATAGTATTAAGATGACGCACAACCTTAACCTGATACACATACTATTGTTCAGGTTGTGCGCGATCTTGGTACGAGTACTTCGGGCGCACCGATAAAAATGCAAAAGATGCCGAAGCCTACGTTGGAACGGTCATAATTAATAGCAATAACTAATTATTACAGATAAAATACTATTTTAGTACGCTACAATAAATTACAGAGCAAAACAGACCCATTTTGAAAAAATCTGTCATTAACATAAAAAGAATCATCATTGGATATTCGAATGTGAACATACCAATTTCTGAAAACTATCGTTTGTGGCCACGGTCATCTGATAAAAAGTACGAAATAGCAATGCTAAAATGCCTTAATCTGATCAAATAACATAAAACTATTCTCATGGATTAAAATCAAAAAGGGAGATGCCGTATGAAATAATGGGTCTCATCGGTCTATTATTTGCGGAAAATAGGGATTTTTACAACGACAACAGCTCAAATAACATTTTAGCAAAGCGATCCAAATGTATGTACACTTTGTGTTCAATAAAACACGATTCAGTGTCGTCAGTGAGATGTGCTCTAACACAGTCCGCAAGTCATTCTACACATTTTTTCGATGCCTTGATTGCAAGTATTGAAGAGGGGACAATACGAGGCCTCATCAATGCAGTCTTTATCATCGATATATCCTCCAGCCCGGTAAGAATAGGGATCTGAAAAGTAAGTAGAGTCTAGTCGTTCAGAGCCACAGAAAACACGAGCAAACGAAATAAATAAAAAGACAGATATTATTGATGAAAATATATTCTAGATAAAATAGCAGAAGACAATAAATTTTTATGTTTATTTTTAATAATGCTATTAATTCCAATATCTCTTTTAAATTTCATCGATACTGGGTCACTTCATAATTTGATCTTTATGAATATGATTTTATCATACCAATAATATAACACGATTGGTGAAAATATTCTATTTTCTTCAAACAATTATGTCTGGGTAGTATACGTCCATACTATTGACTAGACTTACCTGATTCACAATGCTTGCCGGTATATCCATAGTAACAGTCGCACTTGTATGAATCATATCCAACATTTTTGCATTTTCCTCGATTTTTGCACGGGTTTGGTTTACATGGATCAGCTATTAAATAAAAATGCAAAAATAGATAGTCATACCATGAATGAAGATTAAGTTTCCATCGTGCAATATATGTATTGTATCGCAATCTATTTTAATCTCGATGATATTGTATCCAAGTCAAATCCAATTGTACAAAAGAGGCAAAATTCGTGAAATATTTGCCGCAGTTTTTTTTTTATTTAAATAATAAAACATTGGATGGTATGCAGTGCGCCATTAATAAATAGATAAACTGGAAAATTAATCAGAGTTCTGAGTTTGCCTTAAAAACTAATAAATGAGTTTCAGCACTAACTGCCAGTTGAGCAACTTCGAAGCTCAATTGCAGTGTTCGGCGCAGTGGGACATAGAAAGATAGCCAAGTAGTCTGCAAAAGAAATTACAAAGCAATACAAGCCGCCCTAGCTCTTTCTCTCGCCCTCCAGCTGAATGAAAAAGTACAACCTATGTGACTTCCAACCATGGCGGTTGATGAGCAACGAAGGGTAAGGCTGGACCCATAAGTTATACATTCGCTTCGTTTGGTAATATAAATCCACCAAGTAAACGAATAAATGCCGTACAGTCAAATCATATTTATTTACGTGAAATTATTGTAGTTATTGCATTTGGTACCTACGGAGCCTCTTTGCCCATGACCACCTAGCAGGGCCGATGACTATGCTCACCTGGTTTGTGACATTGTTGAACAATCCGTACCAGCGGTCCGTCTCGCCTTGAGTATTCCTTGTACAACCCTATTGTGTCAGACCTCCATCTGGATTTTGGACCGCTTTTTGGACATACGCGGTCAATGTAAAGCAGTACAAAAAGATTTCGTTGATCATAAGGAAAATCGGGAATTGACCTAAAGGCAAGTAAACGTGTATTATTTCTCTGTCAAATAGCCTGTTTTTACTAATCGTATCTCGACATTCTCGAGAGGACATTGTGGTTGGACAACCATACATTCGAGCAACATTGTTTCTGTATTTCAAAGACTCGCTTAAAATCATCTCCCGAGTCTTATGTAATTCGATTAGTGTCATTTTGCGCGGACGACTCGAGTAACTTTGTTGTGTCTTTAAAAAACGTGACTCCAGTCGAAACAATGATTCGGGTCTCCGCAACTGCTGCTTTGTAATAACCGATTACTTACCGTATCAAAAATATGAGCACATTCTATGATATTAAAAACAAATGGTGAAAAGAGGTATTGGTTGTTTATCGAATATTTACCGACAAAATGTAAAATGATCCCTCAAAAATATGCTAATCGATTTTCCACTGATTCTTCTTAACGACGGGTACTGCCTGACGAAAGGTTTCGCGTTTTTGTCCACACACTGCGAAAATTGTTTAAGAGAAGTCGAAAGTGGTTTTTGCTTTGGTTTTCTTGGTGGTGGGGTATCTCTTGTATCTTTGTAACTGTATAGTGTTGATCGTTTCTGCGGATGCTTCGGTGGTTCTGCGTTAAAAAAATACTTGAAAAAAGTTGAATTGGCTTAACAATTCAAAGTAGCCTTGGGGCGTTAAAGTTCCATGATGACATTTATAGGTTGGAAATTTAGATATACGATAGATAATATCAAACAATAACATATTCTGAAACTTGAAATATATATACACTTGTCTTCTTGAATCTAGATCCTAATCAGAAAACGTTTTAGTTATACTTCGATGAAAATTTGAGAGATACTAATTTCAAATACTGAATGTCCATATTCGTCTTTAAAATCGTGCATAACAGATCATAGTAGATCACGTGATAAAACGTTTTTAGTCCTCTTTCAAATACTTTTCAAATTACGAGCTCAAAATGACGCAAATTGAAAAAATTCATTGAACGGGGCCCATGTTTTCACCAGTTTTCACTCAATAAATTTGGCCTCACCCCAACATGTTCCAGCCCAGTCACAAATACATTGTGCTGTTGGTTGATATAGAGTTGAGGCAGTATCCATCAAAAATGGAAGAGTATAAATCCAACATTCCGCCACATCGCGATTTCCACTGAAAATAAAGGGTTGCGTTAAGGGCGTGGGTATCCAGTCGGGGTATTCCGCCGCGGTTGAATTTTGAAATAGTCAAAAGTAAATTTAATAATTAAATTATTTTGGAATAAAAAATAGAATCAGCGAGTTACAAAAATGAACATTTATATATATGTTATATATAATAGCCTAGTAGCTTCATAAATACGAACTACTTACCATGGTAAATACCATATCTCAAACTCACAATTAAAAGTGCACATTTCGATATTATGTGCACCAAGATGGCGCACAACCTGATCATAGTATGTGTACCAGGTTAGGGTTCAGGTTGTGCGCCATCTTGGTGCACATACTTCTGGAGGTCCAAATAAAAATGTGCACTTTTAATTGTGATTCAATTGTGTTTTTACCTCGGGAGCGCGATTTTCTACCTAGTAAAGTTAAATTTTTTTGTTAATAGTATCGTATTCATCCCTGGTACAAATATATAGCGCACAATGCGATGAAAAATAACTTACGAGCAAACATCATCTTCAACTTCTTTGTACCAAACGCTGTCTCTGATGACACTGTCGACCACACTTCTCAGTGATTCAAATATACCAGAAGCTGGTCTCCGCAAGCAATCATCAAAAAATGCTGCCAGTTTTGTATCAACTTCTGGGGCAGTTGGAACAGATCTTTTTCTGCGGGATCCTCCTTGGCATCCTAATAAAATGTATAAATTATTGCTATTTCTCTTTCCAATCATACACTTTTATTAAGGCAAGATGAAATTTGCCAGTCGAATCCGCTTTTGTGACGCAAGTAACTTTATTACAATGAAATAATTCGGGTAATTCGCTTATGAACTTGTGACTGGCATTGATAGATGATAGCTTATTTTGAAAACTCAAAAAAAACACAAATTAAAAATGAAGAATTCTGGAGAGCAGGCAATACCTATATAAAAGTTTAAAACATGATAGATAATACCATGCGCCTGCCCACGAGCACACCAGCATTACACAAATAAAAACTCAATAATGTGTTATGCCGTCAAGAAAGCTTTCAGAAAAATTAGGAATAATAATTCCATCAGCTACCTTCTGTGAGACTGACAATAAAAATTCCGAACACTGCGACGATAACAAGATATCTCATGCTGCAGAAATTGTTGAAACGAGATCTTCCCAGAAGCCACCAACAATTTCACTGAGGGAAAATTTTTCAGTGTTATCGTTATAAACACGGTCGCTGCGAGATATTCCGAGTTAATTACACTTCAGATTCTTGTTTGTCATTCTATTACCTTCAATTTATTTTTAAATATTGGCTAGGGTTTCGGTTTCGCTCTATGATAGTGCATATATAATTTAAGCCCACTAATTCGCCCTCGGGATAAATACAAGTGAAGTCGTGATTTTGGTTTAAAAACTTGTTTAGGATTTCGAAGAAAATTAACACTGGTGCCATAAAATAACGTTAATTGTGGCTAATGTAGTGTTGATGTTAAATCAAATCAAAGTGTGAATAAATATTTTTGAAATATAATAGCTCAAGTGTATGCGCGTGGGTAGAACATTAACTTTCGTACTTACACTATATATTTGAAATTCATAATTTTTCGGCTTACCTCTAAATGATCCCGCTGAGTTAGTTTCAGTTAATTATAAAATTAAAAGTGAGATGATTTATTCACAGTCAAAAAATTAAAAAAGCGTCAATGCAAGTCGACAACAAAAACAACTTAATTGAGCAAAATGCAAACTCTGCAAGCAGGTCACGGTACCACTCGAACGAGGAACAATAATTTTTTTTTTTATTCAAATAAATTTTTCGATCTTCGGGTGGCACGTGGCACGTGGCACCCTTGTCTAATCTCTATAAATCTCACTCAATATGACTCAGAACAACAGTGGGACAAGTCTAGCAATGTAAAAACTGTACTCTTCCTCGCCTCAATCAGAATATGTTGACAAATATTCCCAATAAGATGATTTCGTAGTCGAACTTGATAATGTAATCAAGAGAAAATAAAGCGCAAAAGTAACACAAAGTCAATGCGAGCTTTGCACCAATGGTACTTAGCAAGTAAACGAGGAATAACAACCGAGAGCCGTTGTTGGTGAGGGACTATCGTCATACCGTTGAGTCGAACCGTAGTAGTATATATTTACGGTCGAACCTACAGCCCGGGAAAATCAGTAAATCAAACTTAACTTGTGTGGATGGGCATCTAATATTCACATGCGGGGCGTTTGCAAAAACTAAAACATCGCATGTACTCGTATTTGAAGCATTCGTGGGATTTCCGACGGGTATTCTGGGATTTTTTTTTATCTGGTTACAGTTTTTATTCATTGATGGAATTCAACGACTAACATACACATACCCATTGATGGAATTTCAGCGATGTCATGGTTAGCGAATGCACAATTACTTAAAACGTGGTGAGCGCAATCTGCAGTACTGTACATGTGGCGGGGTTTTCTCAAATCTCACACATTTGCGGTAGTGGCGGGGGCTTTATCCAAAAGATCCGTATTCTGACCTCTGGTTCGTTAAGTGCTGATGATACCTAATGTACTATACTTAGGACCGAATGAACACAAAAGCGCTAGACGAAAAGCGCAAGTGAATCAACTTTACAGAAAACGAGTAAAAGGCAAAAGAAAAAGTTCGGCCAGTTATTATTTATGACGCAGAACAGCTGATTTGCCAAATCGTGTTCCTCTCAACTATATATATATTTTTTGTTGAGATGAATAAGATATACAGACTATAATTTGTTTACACATACAAAATATTATGAATTAGTGAAAAAATCTGAAATTTAAAGTAATTTTTTTTAAGTCATTAACTTCAATAATATTAAAGTAAAAATGAACAGGAACACTATTTGTATATCAACAAACCTACAATTCGATGACCGTATTGCCGACAGGCTGAACAAAAACTTGATGGCTGCATTAATAGCTCTCGGTTTAGTCATTCAAAACTTGGAATTTGCCTCAACCACAACTGAAATATATTCACGTGCATATATTTCTGTGAAAGCAGCAGAATCAAATAGTCAAGAAGGACTTAACACACCATCTTTTGTTACTGAGGGAATATTTTTAAAATCTGGTGTTTTGAAAAATGTAGAAGGAAAACTATGCAAGGTAAGTTCTTTTCAAAACGATTGTTCTGTTATTTGTGATGTAGAACAAAAGTTGTTGTATCCATTCTAGGCTACATGTATGGGCATACACCATACTAATTATTATGAATATAAGTTTATTTTGATTTCACTAAACATAACAGCAAACACACAGAAGATTAGGAAACTGGGAAAACCAATATTTGGAACATAGAAATACCAATTTACCCATGCTACACATGCAAACTCATCATAAATTTTAAAAAGGTTATAAATGAAAGCAGAAACATGTATTAATCAAACTTATCTAACAAAAACTGCAAACTTCAAAACTGTTTATATCAAAGCAGTTGTGATAAGCTATCCATTTTTTGATGTCTTTTACACAGGTCAATAATAACTTTTTATTGAATCCTAACTTATCGTCAGAAGAAAGCAATTGGATTGGAATTATTTATGATGAAGATATTGAGAATCTGGAACATGATGACATTGAATACGATAATAGAGGAAACAAAATAAAATTGAAGAAGGAGTTGAATCAAGATATTAAAATAAGGATGAAATATTTAAAGGATAAAATCAAAAAAATTTTGTTGCTTGGCGCATCAGCATTAATTATAATGGTGAAGAATGTTCATATTGCAAAGGAGGTAAAGAAAATGATTTTGAAAGTTCTGAATATGATAAAAGTTTATGGACTTTTTGAATACAAGTTAAAATATGAAAATACTAAAATAATGTCATCCAGGCTTTTATAAGGTTTAAGATAATATTGAAATTATTATTCTAATATTATTATCCTCCGCCCTGTCACAATAAAATTACAATACTGTAACATACTTTCAAATGAACATGTAACAAAAATACTTTATTGGGTATTCTTTACAGCAGCAAGCGATAAAAGATGACTACAGTAAACTCTGTATATGTGTGGTTTATAATATTTTAAATTTTGTTAGTTATATTATTTTTCCTTTACAAAAAAGAATAGGCTATATATATACTATAGAGATAGTATATATTGCGATGACAGACTCTAAATCTGTTTTAATATCTTGTGAGTTGTGTTAAAAATTGTATATTTAGGAATCTGGAGTTGTGACTCCTATTTCTTACCCTACTTACGGTAGTTCAAAATTTTGATGTCAACCTCTGGCATTCGAAAATACGATTCCAGGTCCTATTCCTCAGAGCTGCGATGAATAGTTGACTTAACTGCATGGGCGAACTGTCCAAGGTAATTCTTACTTTTTGATTCCAGTTTGATGTCAAACAAGTTTTTTCAAAGCCTATTGTACTTCTCCATGGTGTTGAGAATGTCACAAAAATTTTACAACTCTTCTCATTGAGGTACGATTTATTTGCAAAGATTCAGCGAAGCATTCCTTACTACAGTTTGGCTGTGAGTATGATGTAATTCACAAGTTTGAAGTTGGAATTCTTTTCCATGCTCATTGTTAGTTGATTTGGTTATAATTATAATATTTTTATAATATATTGTAATAGTTTTAGCATATGTGGCACAGAGTGGATAGAGCATTTGACCAAATTATGCTGGTGTCACAGGTTGAACCTCATGCCCATCACCTAACCCAGGGGGATTTAGTAGCAAGGCAGGAACTAAGAAACTTCTCCTTGCATATCATTAGCATATGCCCAAGGTTTTGTTTAGATTGGAGATGTGATCCAGCTACTTTCAATTCCATTAATCTCCAAAACTGACATGGGCAAACTATTGTCCGCGAGCCAAATCTGGCTCATTTGGTAAGTCAATCTGGCTCGCCCGATGTTGCTACAATCAAACTAAAAACCAAATTTTGATGCTTTAGCTGTAAAATAGCATAAAAAATTTGTTGTGATTTATATTAAATTTAGTTTTGGCACGAGAATCATAGTTTTGCTTTCGTAACACTGTAAATATTGTTCATAAAATGTAACTTTTTCATCACTCACATGGCCTGCCAGTCCAGTTAGGCCAAATTTTTGACCCTAGGTCCAAAAACCTTGCCCACCCCTGCTCTATAAGCTAAATGGCCATTTTTACAGAGCCATGTTTGAGGAAAAGTCAAAAGACCCCAGAGAAGTCAATTATATAGTGAACTACAGTCTCACACATAGTTACTATTCTGTGTCAGATAAAGAAATAGCTTGCAAATTCAAGGCTTCAATTTGCATGGTTGTGGTTGGTGGAGACAGCTCTATTTTTCCTGTATTACATGTCCTGAGTTGACAGACCCTATTTTTACTTGCTTGATGTCGCTATATTTTTCTAGAGTACTATTGGAACGGTGACACTTTGGGCAACATGTGGCAGATCTACTAGCGGCACATTCAATGAATGGCAGGGCACAGTTTGTATTGGTCGAGGCATGATTTCGGGAAAAGCTATGGATGAATATTTCAGCATAATGACTTGGAATGCAGCATTACTTCTATTTATTTGTTCAATTGTATACATCTATATAAAATTATGTCGAAATGGATTGGGATTCGAAAATAATGACAATGAGGTTGGTAGCATATTCTGTTTCCCCAATTTCGCATTAACAGTTTAATCTACAAGCATTTTTACTTTTTAGATGAGCAATGAAATGCTTGCCAAGAACATCCTTTCACAAATGAGTATTGAAATATATCGATCGAAGGGAAGGACTTCCGGCAGAAAATATAAAAAACGGTCCGATTCTATGGATGAAGGAGGGAGGAAATTTGATAATCCACCTGAGCAATGTGTTATTTGCCTTGATATGTTTTTTCCGTTACAACGATTGCGCGTACTGCCTTGCAAACACTCATTTCATATGAATTGCATTGATCGGTGGCTTCTATTAAGACAGACCTGTCCGATGTGTAAATATAACATCCTCGGTAAGTAAGGTCTTCAATATATAGTTGTATTTTTTATACGCTCAAGGCCCTATACTAGCAGCCACTGATAGCTATCGATATGTAACGACCTGCTAATTATTTGAACGACAGAAATCTTTCTGATTCTGCATCACGTACACGATTTATTACATCATGGGTTAGGTAAAAGGTTATGGGATTTGAACCCGGGATGTGTCATTTCAATCTCAACACAGTTGAGTCTAACAATTTACCCACCAGGCCATCCATAAATGTTTGAGTGGAATCCGAGATTGAAACAGAATTTTGTTCTGTTATTTGCACTCAGCTATTCGAATCTGCACCGATTCAAAGTTTTACTCATTAAATTTGTACAACCGATAGTAATACCAAGTAGTCAGAGTTTTGTGGCTAACGATGATAACAAGACATAATGTTGTACCATCATCAATCAGTATATATGCAGCGTGATTGTCTTAAATATGTGTCAAAAACATAGCTTTATACAAATGATATTTGTTGGTAAATGCTCGGATTTACCTTCACTTTAAAATTATTTTTCATGCAATTAGTCACAACATCAGCAAGTCGACTTCTTACATTGTTTAATTTCTTTCAGATCATGTTCAAACAACCAGTGATGCTTAGGAAATGTTACCATTGACATCATATACCTTAGGAATACACATACATTTTGCTTTCCCATATTTATTTTAAAATACACTATTTAAGAGTCTGATGAATATATTTCTTTCAATAAAATACAATATAAAATTATGTGTTGCTGCACATTGATAGGTAAAAGAATTGTTTTCCTGATAAAGAAAATCTGACTAGGCTCAAAATGGCATCATGTATAAAATTACGGTAGGTAGAAGTTTTACTAATTATCACATAAGTAAGATGAGAGTATGATTTAGTAATATATAATGTTGAATGTGCATCATACATGGAAAAGTGGAAATTAAAATATAAAGGTAGAATCGAATTAGTTTGGCTAGAATATTTATGCTGGCAATAAGTTGGTACCATGAGTTGCTGCTTCCGCTCGCTTGATTTCTGTCGTTATTTGGGTCAAATCTTGAATAAACATTTGTATCTGAATAAAGGAGAGAATTAATAGGATGTAACTCAATAACTGGACACCTAGGATTTTTGTTTTTAGTATTAAGATATTTCAATTTGTTTTGGCATTGCAAGGTTAAATACAATGAAAAGACCTATGACTGAATTATAGGGCTGTTACTAAATTGTGTCTAGCGAGTCAATCGCTTAAAACCATTTTTTGTCAGGTTAAACCAATCATCTTTAACTGTTTGCCAAGTTCAATACTCTAAGAAAGCAGTAAGGCTATTACAAAGATTAACAGCTCATGGTAGGGATATGAAGCAAGAAACAAGGTCACAACACTAACCTGGCGGTGTGGCACATCGAGCTAAGTGTTAGGAATGCATTCGTCACCACACCTCAGATTACCCAACATGGGTTCGAATCCTGTTGTGTATAATTATGTGCGAGAGGATTGCTGGACGCTTTGCTGCCGTATGGTGATGATTACTGCCTCCTCCGCCACCAGGTCCATGCATCTTAAACAAATTACTGGCTATGGACTGGCAACAGAACAAGAGGTCGAGGTACATCATATTGTTAGGCCGTCTTTCGTCTCCCATAGGTATAATCCTATCCTAACTATAAATCTTTGAAAGTCAAAACCGCACCGTCCCCCCTAACTGCAATTAATCGAGTGTTCTCGCCTACAGCCTTGTTAAGAGCGATACTGTGAAAGATCCCATGAAAAATCCATACCTTTTCTAACTGCAAAGCTGTATTTTCCAAGGGAACTGTTGTTGTTTGTTGCTTAAGATGCTTATTAACAAGTTGAAACAAATTATGTGTTGCTATTTTTATTCTTCCAAGTAGGAGTGTCTTCTTTGCAGCAGTGTTCTGCAGAAAAACAATCAAATTTCAACATAGTCTTGAATGAAGCTTTCGTTACATTCAAGGTTTATAATAACATCAGTAAAATTTTTTGTCAGAAACTAAAAAAGGGTTGTTGTCTGAACATTCTCATCAGACAATAAAAGTTTTCAAAGTTTGTTATCTTGGTCTTCAACCTCGCGTGGAAGACAAAATTTCGTCAACTAGAGGCGCTAGTAGCATTTCTTAGTGGTTTAGAAACGAGTAGAATGTCAATTTCCCCTCAGGCAAAAGCCTTGCTCGCAAGTGATGGTGGAAGTTGATATTTCTTCAATTGCGGTAGTATGATTTCTGATTGGATCTGAGTTGATTGTGAATTTTTTTTCATGCAAAAGCCTTACTAACATGCATGAGGACCAGAACAATTTTGAAATTAATTGCAGCTTATCTTCATTAAATACCCCGCAATCACATAAATCAAGTTTTTTTGCATTCAGTTAAATTCGAAGGTGTTATCTGAGCAAGACCATTTTTCCTAAATCAATCATATTTTATGTAAAATACGCGATATATTTATACTGTGTTCACAATTTCCATAATCATTCATATTTTTACCTGAATGTGGGTCCACTTGCTTTCCCATTTTACTGCTCTACTCTGAGCCTGATCAAGTCTTGTTTGAAGTTGAGCAAGTTGGTTATTGTAGTATAGAATTTCATTATTTTTCTCTTCAGTGAATTTCATAAGTTTGGCTTTCTCTTTTTCAATTGCATCTTGATTAGCTTGATCTCTCTCCAATAAATCCTGAATGACACATAATAAGTCTACTCTAACCAAGGCATTATGCAAGTATATATGTTTAGACATACAAATGTTTAATTGGCTGATTTTTTGTTCATACACTAATCTAAACTTTATATCTAAAAACCACCATGTTTATCTCAAAAAAATTGGATGCATTACAGGAAAAACTGCACAAATATTGGTTTTAAAACATGAGCGCAGTGGCCTAGTTGCTAAAGCCTTAGACCTGACTGTGATGCTATCACAGGATAAAATCTTGGGTTCAAGTCCCATATCCACCACCTCACCCAGGGTGTAATAAATTGAGTGGACAGTGTCTGCCTGAAAAGATTTTGAATTTTCGGTGGTTTTTGCACTGTAACGGATACCTATTCGGAGATTATTCGACTCCTTGCTGTGGTCGCAGAGTGGTTTTTGCACTGTAACGGATACCTATTGGGAGCTAACACGTGTAGAAAAGAAATGGGCCTTGAAATTCGGAATTTTGGATAGTTGAAATCACTATTTTTTTTTTAAATTTGCTATGTTCACCCAAAAGTATGATGACAAATAACTTACAAGATGGGTTGCAACAAGTGTATCATATCGTGCAATTATCTCTCTTATTTCGCTAAATTCATCAGATGTTTCCTGTACTTTTTCCATGTATTTCTGGTAAATTGAGTTTCGTTCTAATTTCTTTTGATAACGATCTCGCTCTTTAGCCAATTCATCAATTTCATCCTTCAATCTAGAAAAAAATATCAATTACATATTCATATCAAGGCATCGGCACAAACCATTCAACATGGTGGCCAAGTGGTGAAAGTGTTAGATTGAACTATGATGGATGTTATCGGAAGTTAAGATTTTGGGTTTGAATCTCATGCCCAACACTTCATCCCGGGTGTAATTGATTGGGTAAAAATGCCGGTCCTTTCAAACTATAGCAGCTGCTTGTGTGGAGCCTTGTTCAGAACAAAGGCATTTGAATATGTCATATTAGAAAAAATTGTAAGTACCCGTAGTAAAAAATCGGAATGTAGAATTTTGAGAACTTAGCTTTTTGCACAAAATCTAATGATCCCAACAAGCATGAATTTTACATGCTAATTTGATTGCATTATGGATCAATGTAAAAGTGTAAGGAAGTTAAGTACATTGTGAAGTATTATTTGACTCCTTGCTGTAGTCGCAGAGTGGTTTGTGCAACCCTTAACTATAACTTGTATCAAGCATGGCCATGCATCTGGATCATCAAAGTGGCTAATTATCGTAGCAATTGGATTGTTATATCAATTGAATGAGATGGTTATCTTATGTCACAATATAATGAGACCATTTTTCATTTTATCTCCCCTTTAACCATAATAAAATGAAATAATTTGAAAATTGTACCGATCAATATCTTTTTCTTTTGCTTTTCTCAGCTCACGTTCATCTTGTGATTTCTTGACAGCTCTCGCACGTTTTGAGTCATTTTCCTTTAGAAACTTATCAAATTTTAATAAAGATTCTTTCAATTGATGTTCTTTTCTTTCTAATTCCTCTCTCCTTTGCTGTAAACTTTCCATTTTCATTTGAAATTCCTGATCAGGAAGAAAATTATACCAGTGATTACTCAACAACAGAAAAACTTAATTACTTTTCCGTTTGTTATCCTGATTTAAACGCACCTTGTAGTATGCAATAAATAAATCTTCCAACAAGCAGGCACCATTTTAAACAATACTCACTATAGTGAAGGCTAAAATCTCTTTGCATGTTCCATGGGATATATTTCATCAGTGCATGCATCTCTCTGCAGATGTGAGCTTATGGTTTTATCTTCAGTTAGGTCAACTTTATATTAAGTCTGTACCTTGTGACTCAAGGTAACAAATGGAAAAGAAATTTAGACTTTCTGACTATAATGCAATTTGTATTTAAATCTTTGCAATATTGTTATTCTTGATACCTATGGTTTTTATTTATAAATAATGAGTAAGTTTAATTGCTGCGGCGCAGGCAAGCAAAGTTGGTACCGTATATATTTGTGACTCGTATCAGTTTTCGAACTCATGGAAAAGGAAAAGCCGAAAGGAATGATCTTACATTGGATCAGAAGAAATATGAATTCAACAGAAGAAATATTTACTATTAAGGAAAAGTTTGCAACATGAAGTTACTAGAGACGTCTAGATTTCTACGACTATTAAGTTCATGTCTTTTGGATAATCTGAAAAGTTTATTTATGTAATCCTTGAGAACTGACAATCAATGTTTACATTATTGTGTAGACGTTATACTTAGTCGATTTTATGGCGATCACTCGATAGTTTGTTTTTTATATTTTTAAGCAAGAAAAGGCCGGCATAGGTTAATTAGGTTTGCACATTTTCATCTAGAAATAATTTGTTCAATTGTTTGATTACATCCCGTCTCACTCATCACACGCACAGCCGCTGCTCAATATTCTGTTTGTAAGTAATTCCACGAAATTTGATTATGAAGTTAGACGCCTGAATAATGACCAATCGTTTATATTATTGTTTGTTTAATGTGATTTGGTTTCTTTCTTCTTCGGTGAGTGAGCCTTTGATAAGTTATAAACTTATTTTTAGGTTTTGTTCACTTTCCAGATTCTTTGCCTTTCTCCATTTTGTGTATTGTTTTATTTTTTGCAAATGAATCAAAATAAAATCTATCTAATTTTACTCTGTTCGAATTGTAACTCGCCTCTTTTTGAGCACCAAGAGCCTGTTCAACTTCTGCCATTTCTCTTCTCTTTTCAAGAAGTCTGGTTGCTGGAGTGAGATGATCATCTTCTCTCTCTGGCATCTTGCTGAAAATAGTTTTTACATCAATGCGATGCATAAAAAGAAAATTGTTAGTACCGGTACGGTACTGGGGTCTCGTGTAGTTTCGTACCTAACGTACTTCTAGTGGGCGTAGCATAACAATTTTTTGACATGCCAATCCTAACCCTCACCTGACTATGCCATCCAAAAATTACCTCACTACGACGTCATTGAGCTTGCCAAATTCTCGTACGATCGCCCGAAATGGCATCGGCGTCGACGATAAAGAACTGACTAACGTCAACGATCTCTTTCCTATCGGGATCGTTGCGACGAGAAAACGAGAGAAATGGCTGTTCGATTCGGGTTCTCGTCTGCGCGTCTTGGATGACAGTTCGCATAGTTTGAAGGGCTCTATTACGTCACTATGACGTCGTAGTGACGTCATTTTTGGATGGTGTGGTCAGGTGGGGGTTAGGATTGACACGTGAAAAAATTGTTATGCTACGCCCACTAGAAGTATGTTAGGTACGAAACTACATGAGACCCCGGTACTGCCTCAATTAACATTCCAGATCGACTTACACAAGGAGCTTGTCCTCAAAAGTGTTCCGAAAATAATCCTCCAAGTTCAGCGTCATCTTGAATGATGTTTAGGTCTCGGAGCCAAAGAACAAAAGTGATAAAACTTCAAGGATAATCGACTGAGACCTACTCTCCGATTACGGTACTGATAGACACGGCGCACAGTCCCTGTATTATATATTATATACGCTTTGCACAGTCCTAGCCTCTTTTTCGCTGTGGGCCAATGTTTAGCTTAGTGTTTCTATAACAACGGACCGTGGCTCCGTTTCAGCTATTTGCATGATCGTTTATTGGACGCGGAGATCGTTTTGTTTTTATGTTGTTTTTGTTAGACACGGAATGAATCTATGGTCTATGGATCGTTGTGGTAAAACTTATCGATCTTAAGATCGGTAAGTATGTTGATAGGTATTTGTCTGTTAGGTGAACGCGATATCTCAAGAAGGCGAGGTTGAATCTATTCATCATATTGATTCTGATTGATTTTGGATGAATTATGTCGTATAATTAGCGAGTTATCAATTAATTAGTGATGGGACACGCGGTGTCACTATAGAGTCATGAATCGAAACTGCAGTTTCGATCGATAAGTCTTCGGTCTCCGACCGATATTCTTGTTTTGTTGTTGTTGTTCATGTTCTTTTTCATAGAATTTTATCGTTATGAAAAATTGCTTTTCCCTTTGATTACTGGACCAATTGCTTTGAAATTTTCAGTGGTGAAAGATTGTAGTTTTCGCTAAAAGGATATTTCAGATATTCCCGTGGGCTCTATGGAATTCGTTTTTTTTTTTTGTGCTATGACGTCACCAGAATGTGGGCACTTTGTGGCGGTTCCGCGAACACATATCAGCGGATCTCGTGCAAAGCGAACGCCAGCGGATCTTGTGCTTAGCGAAAGTAGGCAGTTTTTTATGAGGAACTTGAGACCTTATCTGGTAATACATCTGGTAAGGGATCAGTTGGTATTTCAATTCACGTTAAAACTGAATCAAGTAGATTGGATCATCGTCATATGATCTGGTAAAGCTATGACTGTCCCAAAACAAGCCCCGTACCATTTTTGGTACTATTATAGAGGTACCAGTTAGTAAGTTAACGCATATGATCATCGGGCAATTGGTGATAAAATATTTCGCTTTGCACTCTGTGTCCACATATTTGAGCATAGCATAGGGTTATGTAGACCAAAGCCTATGTAGACGGGCAGATCTATTTTTCATATCTTTGCTCAAAGCAATGTCCCGAGCCCTCAACCGGGAAAGAAAGAGCACTTATAAATGGTTCAGGAGCGGATAGTCATGTACAAGTTTGCCCAAACCAACGTCCTGAACTCTTAGATTGAAATGGAAAGTTTTCAGATAGGAAACTTGCAAGGCACGTTGCCACCGACACAAGATGAGCTTTATTTCATATATACATCAGTAGGCCTATACTTCTGTACTCTGGACGTGCTTTGATTAAATCAAGAAAGATTATTAAACTGATTTCACCTATTAACTGATAGGTAAAATACTACTTCGCCATTATTGCCTAGGTAAGTTTTGTTATTTACCAAAATGACATAATATTCGCTATTAGATTTGGACCGCTTTCGATGAAGGATGTGCCATCAGCGTACTCAATACGACACTTCATCTATAACGGACGGGAATTGAAATAAAACATATTATTTTCTGTACTTTCGAGCTTATCCAATAATCGGAATAATCCCCAACTCGGCAACTCCAAGATCCAAATTGAGAAACCTGCTATCAATGTGATTAAAGGATTTGTAGCAAAGATATCAGACATGAAATCAATATTTTTCTATGTGTAGTAAGGATCGAACAAAGTTGTTGATAATGCCATAGGTTCACGTTAAATATTGTTTCAGACCATCGTTGATTTATCCGCAAACATCTTTTTTACGGCACGAATCTGAAATAAAGATAGAATTTCAGGTTTTCACCAAGGGTAAAAGAATGATAAGTCAGATTAAAAAATACCCGAAATGCACAAATCGTCAGTATGAGTAGGACCGACAGAGTAGAAAAATTGTCGATCATATTAAGATTGGATGTTGTGGTTAAAAAATCGTAACGTAGCGATGATCTCACTCCCACGGTATCAGTTCGTATTCGTCCAAGCATTCCGATTATTCCATATATTTTCTCCTAAATTCAAAAAACTAACATCGAAAACATTTTATGAAATAATATACTTGATGATAATTATTATACAACGTATTGCGTATATATATATATAGATATATATATAAATTATAATATAACAAACGTCGAATATTAAAACACAAGCATGAGATGCTAATAACACTGTTGTGAAAACTCACACGGTAGGGTAAAAATTGTATATATGTTATACTTTATGCAACTTTTGATATGATATTCTACATACGACGGCCTGCCTTTAGAGTAAAACAGTAGCTCAACGGAAACAGTCAAGGAAATGTGCATTAATTTGTTACGGGAAGCCTCGCAATTTGAAATCGAGGAGGGAGAGAGATGTAAAAAAAAAAGTTGTAAGTAAAATAAAAAATAATAAAGCAGTAAGACCAATGTTTCCGGTAAAGACTGGAGGAAGCGATACGAATATGCGTTCGTCAAAGTCAGCTCCCGCTAGATTCAGGATTTTGCACCGATTATAAGCTATTAGTAAACGATGATTATACTAAAACGGTTACGTATTCTATAATCTTCATCTTGGAAAATTATCTACTAATGTTTCTATTAAGTTGTTTAGGTCTGTTATGTCCCTGCTAAGATTAGGGGTAGCCCAACTGAAACAGCGGTGGAAACGTCCGTTTTTATTAATTTCTCTGCATATTTTGCACTTTACTGTAGTTGAAGTTAACCAAAGTACAACCAAAGTACAATTGTCCACTGTAGCTGTTTTCTAAAATATTTCTGGTGCGTGTGATACGCCTGAGAATTGGTGACTTATTACATTCAAAGGTCAATTAATCATGTACGCTTATTGTTTATTCAGTGTGTTTTTATACAACGACGCACAAGTTACTCGTGGGATCGCACATTTACTACCACAATAAACAAAACCAAAAAAACAATATTAATAACAACGTTGCATGGAATCCACAATTCTCAGATTCCTCTCCTAAAATGGCA